ACAGTGGCTGCTCTGCTTGTTTATGCCTCAGCTCCAGGCCAGGACCCTCACCTTGCTGCCTGTGGGTCCTCTGTCTGGGTCAAGCGGCCATCACCCTACTACTAGGAAGGATCTTCCACCTGCGGGGGAATTCTGGAGGCGATGTTCTTGGGGGACACACCCCAGGCTGGGGGCATCCTCCCTAAGCAACCCTTTGCGAGGTCGTGCCTCAGTCTTACCCGCTGTCACCCACGGACATCTCAGCACCTCTCTTTTTCACTCCTGCTGAGCTGCTGTATGGTGAGGAGCACTCTCCTCTGAGGGAGCTGCCAGGCAGTCCTCCCAGTCATACTGTGTTGCCTGCAGGCTCAGCTCAAGCTCCCGCCTGCTGCCCTGAGGCCTCCTTCCTCCTTCCTCCCTGCTTTCTGGTCCCAGGCTCAGTCCTCCCCTGTCCAGGTGCAGCCTTACTTGGTACCTGTCCCCTCTCCTTCAGGCAGCTACCTATTTCCTCTGAGGGTCTGTGGCCTGGCCACTTCCCACCCTCCACACTCGGATCTCTGAGATGTCCCTGTGGTCACGGGGCGCCGGGCAGCCGAGCAGCTCTCTGAGGCATGTAGGCCGGCTCTCCTGGACCCCGGGCTCAACGCCCATGCTCACACCACTAGTGTAAGCTCATGCTGGGTCTCACCGATGCTTTTTACCCCAGGGAGGTGGTGATCCCCCTAAAATGTCCCTGCCGGAGAGCATGCACATGCCAGGGATCCCCAACACAGAAGGTGGCAGTCAGAGAACTTCACTGCAATGAATGTGAAGCTACTAAGCCGGTGCAGCAGCCCTTTAACCAAGTCGTGTCCTTGGCCTGCAGTGGCATCTTTTGGTCTTTGTTTTGTTTTGGCAGATGCTTGCTCAGAAATCTGGCAACATCATCAACATGTCCTCTGTGGCTTCCAGCATCAAAGGTAGGTGGACCTTCCTTGGGCCCCATGCTCAGCCGTGCATACCCCCATAGCTGTGGGTTTGGGGCGCCTGCAGGACAGAGACCTTAAACCCACACATTTTCAACTGCTGTTGGAAAACCGGTACTAAGTTCCTAAGGCCAAACCCTTCTTCTGAAGTGGGAACCAGTGAAGAAGTGCCCAGGCCCCTGGTGTTTTGTTTGCTCTGTCCTCCTCTCCTTTGCAATCTGCCCAAGTTATACCAACTGGCGCTGAAAAGCTGGGACCCCTGTCCTTGAGGTGGGTGTCTCAGCAGCTGAGTGCCCGTGAGTTGTGGTCTCCTCCCAGACTCGAAAACTGCCCTGCTAGGGGGGAACCTGACGCCAGCACTGAGGGTGGGTGAGCCTGGCGGGGTGCTGGCTACTGTGTTTGATCCACTGGGTCCTGCCTTCCCACAGGAGTTGTGAACAGATGCGTGTACAGTGCCACCAAGGCCGCGGTGATCGGCCTCACCAAGTCGGTGGCCGCCGACTTCATCCAGCAGGGCATCCGCTGCAACTGCGTGTGTCCAGGTGAGTGGGCACCGTGGGCGCTGCTGGGGAGGCCTCGCAGAAGCGCATGGGCCACATGTCCTGTTGAGTCCCAGCACGTGGGCAGGTTCAGAAGGAGAAAGGTCTAGGCTTAATTAGTTAATAGCCCAAAGGTAGGCTGGGAGCCAGGTGCTAAGTAATGGGGAATGGTCCACAGAGGCAAAGCATTTCAGCGCAGCTGCTGTATGCGGATAGTGCCACCCTGTGGGTAAAGGCTTAACTCCCCATGGCTTAGTGTTTGGGAGGCAACCAACCCAGGGGTGACCTTTTCAGGGGAAGGCAGGCAGGCGGAGCCAGCTCCCAGCACAGCAGGAGGAAAGTAAGAGGAGCCTCCCAGACACAGCAGCATAGACGGTCATCACCTGGGGGCTCACCCATTGCAGGGCTCATGCCTGTGTGCTATGACGGGGTAAGCCACTGGTGGCTGCAGGCCAAAGCTGGGCCTCATTGTGTCAGCACAGTTGAGTGGCACGCCCCACCCCTGATTTGCTTATTGTTGGCTCTGGCTGCATTCAAGGAGATGCATGCAGGTAGACTCCAGGAGTTGAAGCAGGCGGGAAGATTCTCAGAGCCCCAAACATTTGCTCTCTGGCTCTCTAGGCCCCAAGTGTGCTGACATCTCCCATAAAAGAAAAGCAGAACTTACTATTAGAAGAGAGGCTATTTAATGTGTCCAAACCAAAGCATTCAATAGCTTACTTCTTAGGAGTAACTTCTCACTTTCTAAATACTTAGTGTCTATTAAGTAGACATGCTCCCCCAGCCCAGCAAGAAGACAGAGTGCTGAAAATCACACACTTCCATCTTGAAAACAAATCCAGCATTGCATCCCAGCACCATGGCTCACTGCTGGGCCAGGGTCAGGGGAGACGCAGCATTTCAGAATTACCTGTGGGCAGGTAGAGTCTAGGAAAGGCCCTGATGGGAGAATTGTGTGCAGTTTGGGAAGTTCCACAGGAGACCCTGGTGTGAGCCATCCCGTCTCCCCTCATGCTGAAAACCACTGCCCTGCTGGTGACTTTTCACATGCAGGATTTCCATGCTGAGACGTTCTGAGGAGGCAGGAGAGACCATGTCACGGGGTTAACCTAGACCCTGGTGATACTCGAGTCTAGGCCATTCACGCAATGGAATACATGGCAAGTGACTTGGAAAATGTGATTATTTTAGCAGCTGGACTTTCAGGAGATTGGAAAATGTTATCAAACTGTTTGGAACAAGGAAGTGGCCATGACTCACGAGCCACCTGACGAGGGCCTGCGGTGCAGCTCCTTGGGTCCAGGCGCAGGCCCGTGCTCAGGGACGGAGGCGTGAACATAGGCCTGTGTCAATGGCTGCAGTCAGGAGCATGGGCCTGCTCTCAGTTTTCATGTCACAGCCACCAAAGCAGAGTGTCAGGCACAGGCTGGTGGGCCTGGCTGGAAGAAGGGGTCATCATTACAGTGCTGGACTTTGGAGGAAAGTGAGGAAAATACTCTGAGAACCTGGAGAAAAGGTGGCTTCAGGTTTATCGACACTCTTGCCTGCAGGAACATGGCGGACAGAAAGGGCCTAGTCAGCGGGGTGGTATATCTGCCGTGAGCACCCCAGGTAGGGGTGGCGTTGCCCTCCTCATAATGCCTGGGCAGAGGAAGAGAAGCCACAGGCTGCTGAGTTTGAAGGTGCCTGGCCTCCCTGGAGACATGGCCCATGGTGCCAAAAGTCGGAGATGGTTTCCGAGCAGACTTGAAATCCCCGGCATGGTCCCGGTGTGGCCCAGCCATGTGAGGCGAGGGCCCGACCGCAGGGCGTTCCAGTCAGAAAGAGGCCCTTCAGAGGACTCCCGCGTTGCAGGAGCCAGCAGGGACACCCGGGGAACCTGCCCCGTGGGAGCAGGCGCTGGGAATTTGGGAAATGCCAGTGCCGTTCTCCTTTTTCTTTTTTTGATGTAAATTAATTTTAAATCATATTTGTTGACGAGAAACATGAAACTATGGTTAAAGATGAAAGTAGGCAAGGCAATGAGGAAAATTCAGAGCCCCCTCACTGCCCACACGCTGCGCAGGCCTGGAGCTGTGCCTGGGCCCCCGGGGGAGGGCACCTGCAGCAGAAAGCGGCTGTGAATAGTGAGGTGGCCCAGGCCCATGTGCCAGCCACACACGTGTGTGCTTTTATCTACGCCTTGTGGTTATTGTGAGCACTGACTGATTGATAAAACATGTCATTCACACATAAAAGTGCTTAAAACCATAAAGTATCATGTGAGTAAAATATATGGCCTCAGATGTGCTGGCTGGTTCACCCGCAGTCCCACACAGTGTCAGAAGAGGTATAGTCTGTGTTTTTAAAAATCATAGAAATGGGATTTAAGGAAGCCAGGACACAGTGGAGGCGGCAAGAGCTGAAACGTGCTCTCATCTAACCAGGGAGGTGGTACCACATGGAAAGGAAATTTAAAGTTCATTGATGTGTTTGTTTTTTCTTTGATTTAGGAACGGTCGATACCCCATCTCTGCAAGAAAGGATACAAGCCAGGCCCAATCCTGAGGAGGTACGGCTACTGTTTTGAGTGTGTTTTGATCATCTAGTTTTAAATGCCCTGTTCCTCACCTGAGCAGAACATTCACAGAGACAGAAAGTAGTCAGGTGGGTGCCAGGGGCCGGTGGAGGGAAGGGGAGTCTTGGGGCCTCACAGGGCAGAGTTCCAGTTTTGCAAGATGAAGAGCATTCTGGAGAGTCACTGCACAGTCGTGTGCCTGGCCTTAACCCCGCTCACCTGCTCACTTGAAAATGGTCGCGATGGCGAATGTTCTACCATGTGTAATTTAGTACAGCTTCAAATCTGGGCCTTTGTTATTATTCTCATTCTTGTCTGTCACGGGTCTATAGGTTCTCATAGAACAGAGTGTCTCAGTATCTTCAGAGGGACTGGAGCCCTCCCAGCCCTCTCAGCCTGACTCACAGTCTATGGTATTGCGATGCCTCATGTGTCAATCATGTCTGGTCACAGGCCCTGAGCGACTTTCTGAAGAGACAGAAGACTGGAAGGTTCGCCACCGCAGAAGAAGTGGCCCAACTGTGTGTGTACCTGGCGTCAGACGAGGTGAGTGCTCTCTTCCCAGGGAGTTCACATCCAGCCTGTGTGTGACTGTCAGAGAGCATCATAGATGCCATGACTTACCTATGCCAAGGTGCTGCATTTCCAGTACAGGAGCAAGGTCTGGTTGAACTTCCCAAATGAGACCATGTCGGTCTCCCTGCTTATCCAGTGTACCTGTCACGAAGTCTTGGAGCAAGTCAGATGGTGGATTGAAATATATTAACTGCTTGATTTTATGAGAGAAAATTGCTTTCAAAAATCACTCTTGGGGGAACCCTGATTAAATGTAAGTCCAACAGATGACCCTCCAGAGTTATAAGAGTGGGGTGGAGTGAGAGAGGGTAACATGAGAGCTTTGTCCAGGTGTGCAGAATGGGCACCCTACTTTAGGATAACAGGTGGCTTGTTGGGAGAATCCCACTGTGGTCACCGACGATGGAGAGTCATAGTTCTGCTCAGGAACCGGTTTCCTCTTCAGGGCTGCTGTGTGTGTAGTAGGGGCCTGTGATGGGAGGAAAAGGTAAGGCTGGGGCAAAGCGGGGCCAGAGCCAGGCTAATGCCTCAGGAGTCCCCAGCAGCTGCCACACTGGGGACCCTCCAGGCACAGGGGGGAGGGAGCAAGCACCTTGGCCTGCTGACTTCTCTGAACCCAGATATCCAGTTCATTTCCCTCAGGGGCACTGCTGATAAGCTGGTGCCCCTGTGGAGCTTTGGGTATCAAATATTTGGAAATGCTCTGGCGTGAAATGTGCAACAAAAGGACCTTTGAGCTTCCAGAGGGGCCCAGAGGAGTCTAGCGTGCCTTGAGAAGCACTTGGGGGTGGGGAGCTGGGTTGTTCTTGGTAAAACAACTAATAGCCCCTTAGTTTATCACTTTATTTCATCTATTTTTCTATACTGAACTTTAAAAACTTTCAGTACTCATATCATTTCTTTCCCTCCTGCCTCTTCTGTGGTCTCAGGCTTTGGATGAAAATTAAAAACACAAATTTGTATCTTTATCATCCAGGTTTAAAAAAGGATTTCTAAACCTCTTCCACAAGGAAGAGGTTTAATTCTTCAGCTTTAATTCTTTAGAAAATGAAATCTGGCCTCCCCAGTGGCGCAGCGGGTTGAGCACAGCGCTGTGAAGCTATCCACAGCCTCTGCAGCACAGGTTCGATTCCTGGCCAGCCAGGGAGAAACCCACATGGTGCGCAGCAGACCTCTCCTGTCTTGCCCGCTGCTCCCCTCAGCAGTGTGTTTCGGTCCATCTGCCTGTTCTGCTCCCTGCTCTGTCTCTGGTGAATCCTCTTACCCTCCCGCGCCTCCGGCCTGTACCCCAGCTAGTGTATAAAAATAAATAAATATTTTAAAAATCAATCAATCAATCAGTAAAAGAAAGTGAAAACTACTGTGGGGAAAAAAACTAAAAATTTTTAACTCCTTTAGTTTTGCACACATTGGGATACCTGAAGCTTGTGTAGAATATTTCCTCAGAGTTCAATGGATTATAATAGCTTGATTATTCAGTGTATTATTTTTATTAATTAAATTGTTTTTCTTACATCATTGTAGTCCCCAGAGCTCTCCTCTTCATACAGATTTTAAAAACATTTCATGTGCTTCAGTTACCAAAATTATCTTTGTATATTCACCAACTAAGTACATACAATTTTTTTATTTTTGTTTGGAAACTGATGTGATCACTTCAGATGACACACTTGATTATGTTTAAAAGCATATTGGAGCCATAAAATTCAGCCAGTTTAGCATGATTCTGAGTTTCCAAGTGAAAATGGGCATTCCAGCCGACACTTGATCCTAACCTGTGCCATGGCTGTGTGTCACTGGACTTCTGAGTTTCCAGATTCTGAAACCAAATACCCAGCAGACTGTGTTCAGGGACACCCAGGGGATTAAGTCCTCTGGGATTAATCCCATTCAGTAAATTTTCTGTGCCGTTAAATTTTCTGTGCCGTGCGAGGTTTCTTGTTACTGCAAGAGGAACTAGTGCAGCCATAGAGACACGGAAGCCATGTAGAAACACTTGTGTTAAACCGCTTGGTTGTTCGGCCCTGTCTCCCCTGCAGTCCGCCTACGTGACAGGCAATCCTGTGGTCATTGATGGAGGCTGGAGCTTGTGATGGCCGGCGGCCCCTCCTGTTGCCGTGGTGGTGAAGAAAACTTCCCCCCGCATGTCTCTCCTGTTGGTGATCTTGTCCTGGAGAGTCTGATGCTTTTAATACACAATCTCTTTCTAATTGCTTCTGAAATCCTTGTAAGTAGAGGATGTAATAGATGATCAACCAACTGCTTATCACAAATTTTAAAAATAAACCTTAGTGTATAAGGACATAAAATTAAAATGTGAACATGAAAAAAGGGAAATATTTTAAAAGGAGTTTTTTTCTATTTCTATTTCCCATGTTCAATTATTTTTGTACAATTCTATAATAGATTGATGTGTATGTGGAGCTTAATTTTAAATTGACACCATTATAAATGAACACCGATGGTAGGAAGGAGTTTGGCATCTATAATTTACATTAAAAGGGGTTTAAATCTAGAACTATAATGTTGATATGTAAAAGAAGGATAATCACCAGGTGTTTCTGTTTAATGAATGTCACCATTTATAATTAACTATTTTCTTAGTCTAACTAAAATTATTTATTTATTTATTTATTTTTTTTTTTAAAGATTTATTTTTTATTTATTTATACAAGCACTGGGTACAGTCAGAAGCGCGGGAGGGTGAGAGAATTCACCAGAGCCAGAGCGGGGAGCAGAGCAGGCAGAAGGACCGAAGTACACTGCTGAGGGGAGCAGCGGGCGGCAGGAGAGGTCTGCGCGCCATGTGGGTCCCTCCTTTGGTGGCCGGGGAGCAGCCAGGGATCGAACAGACGCCGCAGAGGCTGCAGGCAGCTTCGCAACCCAGCGCTCAACCGCTGCGCCACGGGGGAGGCCCTAACTAAAATTATTTATTAAGATAAACAATGATTTTAATATTTGACATGGGCCTAAGGAACACAGTTAACTAACTGGCTGAGCTATTAGTTTGAGGGATTTTTTTAGATCAGATACAGATTTCTTCACCAACTTCCAGGACAACAGACAAGAGGGCACAAAAAGTAAAAGTAATTTCTGGATAAATACAAACAAATCATATAACAAATAATTTAAGGAAAATAATTTTTTCAAGAAAAATGGTAATTCTCTAACAGGCTATTAGAGATAAGTTTCAGGCTTTCCTGTTTTTTATTTGCTGTTGCCTTCAAAAGCCAAATGGAAGGCTGCACATAGACTCAATACATGAGCCTTTTCTCTTAGACCCCGAATTAATATTTAAAAGGAAAACTTTGAAGCAGACAATGTAGGGTAACATTAAATAGAGGATACTCTGGTGAGCATTCCTGCAGGTCCCTGGTGAGAAATGAGGTTTGCTCAGGCCCTGGAGCACGAAGGCATCTCCATGGACACAGCCTGGTGTGGGACCTAGACCAGTCGCCCGGTTTATCCTGCTTTCGCCTTGGGGCTGGGCCCCGCGACTGGCTTTCTTCTGCTGCTCGGTGCTCACCCCACGGCGAGGGCCGGACGTGCCTTCGGCGCGGGGCGCTGAGGGAGTGGACTCCAGCCTGGACGCTGTAACCATGGCAATAAAGGCCCAGGGACATCTAGCCCCAGAGCCCAGCGTGCTCGGGCCGTGTTCACCCAGCGGGTGACTCCAGGGGAGGTCCCGGGACGGCACGGAGACGTGGGGTTTAGGACAGGACTCCTGCTCCGGAGCCCGGCCTTTCAGAAGCCGGGGAGCCGGCGCGGAGGGGCCCCGAGGGAGGGGGGGAGGCGTGGCTGCTCTGTGGGGCGCCGTCACCCTGGGTGGCCCTTCTTGCCCGAAAGGCGTTGATTAAACCTATTTGCTTAAAGGAGTGAAAACGGGAAGAAGCTTTTCGTTGAAAGTCGCCCGACAGGGGCGCACCCCTCGGTTGGAGAGGAGGTACAGCGGCAAGGGAGCGCGGGAATGGGGTTCTGGAAGGAAAAGCAGCAGCCTGAGACAGGCCCGGGGCTCCCCCAGAGCTGGGGGCGCGAGCGGAGGCGGGGAAGGGGCGCGGTCACGCCGGGAGCCCCAGGCGGACCCCTGGGCGCTCCCGTCGGGCGCGGGGGCTCCTGGCGGGGCTGGTCCAGGGCGGGACCCGGCGGGGCGGGGCGGGGCGGGGCGGGGCGGGGCGGGGCCGCGGGGCCGGGATCTAGGGGGCGCGGGGCGGGGCCGCGCGCGCAGAAGGCGGGTCCCCAGCGCGGCGCACCCCGCGGGGCCCGGGCGGTGGGCGCGCGCGGGTCCCGCCCCGGCGCCCCGGCTTCTCCCTCAGCGGGCGGGGCGGCGCTGCTCCCACCGGCGAGGCCGGGGCGCCGGCGAGGCCGGGGCCGGGGGCGCGAGGGCGCTGCGGGCGGTGGCTCGCTGGTGGGGACCGGGAGGAGGCGGCCGGTCTCGGGCGCCGGAGCGCGCGGCTCCTGCTCCTCGAGGCGCTTTCCGGTGTCGGCCGGGCGCGCGCCGTCCCGGGGGTGGGGTGCCCCGGGGAGCCAGTGCGCCCCGCCCCGCGGCGCTGAGACGCCGGGTCCCACGGACGAGGACGGGAGCCCCTGCCCCGGGACACAGGCCTCCCCAGTCCCCGAGTTGTGCGCGCGGGGCCTGTGTTTCCTGCCGCCGCAGCCCGGGGGCCTGGGGTCAGGACAGACCTGGCTGGTGACTGGGCAGCGCTGGTGGCCGGCGAGCAACCCCGGGACGCCCTTCCCGCAGCCTTGCCCTGGAGAGGCTGGCCTCGGGGGTCCCGGCGGGCTCGGCGGGGGTAGCAGGTCTGCACCCCGGGGGTGCGGTGGAGCCACACCAACAGCCTCCTTCCTAACTTGCAGCTTTCTCTTTCCCGCCCTCCAGCGCCCTGTGCTCCCTTCCTTGGAAGGCTTTTCTTGCCTGTCACAGGATTGTCAAGGCCGAGTCTGGGCTTAGCAACCCCAGCGACAAGCCCAACAACCCTGGCTGTTAGTGGTCCCCTTAAAGCTGGTGCTCCTTGGTCAGGCAGGGGCCGCTTGCTGGTAGGAGGCTTCCAGGGGCAGGGGAGGGAGTTCCCTGCTGGCCAGGCCTGTCCTCCTCTGTGGGGCAGCTGGGATAGCGGAGGTGACCATGGCAGTCCTGGTGAACCATGTGGGTGCAGAGGAGGGCAGGTGTGGATTCCACAGAGGAAGCTACTCTGCTGTTACCAAAAAGGGGAGGGGAGTTGCTGGTGAAGCTAGAAGGACAGAGTCACCTACGGAGAAGATACTTATCCCTGAGTTGCGTCTCCTGAGCTGGCTGCCTTCTCCCCTGGTCACCGGATGGCCCCCATGCTGCTCGGGGCTGCCTCTGCCGCGGCTGCTCCCTGCCTTTTAACTTAAGACATCATAACACCTCACCTTCTGCAGCTTTGGAAAGCAGGGGAGCAAAGTCATTGGAATTATTTTCAAAGAGGTGATGGCTGTGGGTGAGGACTTGAGCCCCTCCCTGTGTGGGGAGTGTGGGCCTTCTGCCCTGAGGTGGGTTTCAGGGCCTCCTGCGGCCATGCAGGGTCACTTCTGTGTGTTTCTTTGATGGTTTTCCCCAACTGACTCCTCCAGGGCACAGGGGTTGTGGTTTCAGGACCCCGTGGCCAAGAACAGTGAATGCGTGAACGTGGTTGCACACTCATGCCTTTTCTAAGGTAAGTGGGTTTCTGAAATGACAAAGGTTTCAGCGGAGACAGAATAAAGAAGCAAAGCTGACCAGTGGTCAGTTGTTATACTGGACTTACTAAATTACTGGTATTTTATCTTACCTTTTGTCACTGCAAAGCCTCTAGTCTCAAATTACAGCATCTATGCTAGAGAGTGTAGGAGAATAGGGAATTATTTGTAACAAAAAGCTATATAAATTCCTATAATATACTATGTAAATTGCCCAGGTTTGATTGTTATTGCTTTTGTTTATTTCTTTTTCTTTTCTTTTTTATTTTATTGGAATAACGTTGAGTTGCAACAGTGTTGATTGTGTTTTAAAAAGACCAGAATAACATTAATAAATTCTCAAACACTTTATTTTAGCCAGTAGTTTTTATCTATTATTAATAATCATTTATTTGTTGGATATTTAGAAATATTCTTCAAAGGTGGCAGAATTGTCTCATTCTGAGAATTTGATAAGGGACATGATTTTGCCCAGATGATACTTGGGAAGGAGTTCTCGGTAATTCTGCTGATGGGATGGGTAAAGAAGCCACAGGCAGTCATTACATCCCTAACTAAGGAGCTGTCCTAGAAGAAGGAGATTAAAAGCGTGATTGGAGAACACCAGTGACATTAAGTATTTAATTCCTCACAGTCAGGCATTGTCCTGCTGCATGAGCTTTATAATCATAGCTACTCAATCAATGTTGTAGTTTTTGACTTCCATTTGGAAAAAAGAACTAGGCAGGAATTAATCATTATCATCTCTCTAAAAATGAGGGAATCATAGATTTATTCCTTTTGCTGATTCATTTCTCATATCAACATTGAGACATTCATTACCTGTCCTGCTTCATCAGGCTGGCCATGAGAGGGGACTATTTTTGCTTGGAATATTGCTTGGAATTTTGAGGTATAACTCAGGAAACAGGGTGAGAACAAATATAAAAGTATGATGGTCATTAAGCATTGTTTCAAGCGAGGTAGAAAAGAGAATAATATAATCAAAGAAAAGGTTAGCAATAGCATAGTCTAGCTTAAAACATTTTATCTATTTAGAGTTCCAAGGGAAAAAAGTAAATATAATACATTCGTTTACTTCCAAAGATTCTCAAATGGCTTTTCTGTATCTATACTATTTCCCCTTCAGTACAGATCTTGTTCCTCTTCCCTCCATCATCTTGTTCTTAATCACAAATCATGGGAGATGAAAATAAAGCCATTGAGCATGAAGATCAGGACCCATCTCCTGGGATAAATCACATAACCTCTCTGTGTCAAGAAGCACAGGTAAATCTGTGACCAGACATCGAACATACTAGCCATCCCCTTACATATTTACATATTGTGAACCTCAAAGGTATAGATGGAAATGAAATAACAGAAGGAAGTAATCTACACATGACAGAACTGTGTTCACTCTTTTTCAGTCAATGACTCTGTTCCCGTTCTTTAGCCCCAAACTCTCACTGCCCAAGGCAGTGAGAATTTCTGGAAATACTAGTTTCCCCAGAGTTATTAGCAGCTGGCCCTCCATCCAGCTGAGAAGATGCAGAGCCCCTGAAAGGGTTCATGTTGCTGGCCTATCCTTGGACTGTGCTGGGTTCCTCCAATCCTTTTTTTGTTGCTTACATTTGGTAGAGGATTGTGTGTGGCTTAGTTTTCACCACAAATGGTTACCATTTTCTGAACACTTTGGTGTGCCTTAAATCATATCTTAAATAGGCTAATTTTTAAACCCAGTATTGCAAAATGACTCAAGCACTTATAACACTACAAATAGTGATTCAGCAGTAAACACTCTGCATAATTCTTGTTCCAAACACTAGCTGATTAGCTAGTAAGCAAGTGTTTTCCCTGTACAGTATTAGCCTTGAATATAGTAGTGGAAATCTGATTTGTGATATGATGGTTGGTGAATATAAAAATGTACAGAAATAATCTTAAGAGTTTTTCAAATTGCTTTAACATAGGAGGAGGCAATTATGAACCTTGAAAGTATAGATGGAAATGAACTAACAGAAGGAAGTAACCTGATGAACTACAGCGAAAAAAAACTACAAGATACGCCAACTGAATCAAATCACTTGCAAAAGCTAAAGCAAACATTTGCCTGCCCTCCACATGGTATACTGGATCGGGTAATAACGAATAGTAAGTAAATGATGAAACATTGAGAAAAAAGGGGTAAAAGATGACGTTGTTATAATAAGAGATTACAAAGTAATGTGGTTTAAAGGACAAAAGTAAGTTTGATTCTCTCACATAAAAACTACTAGGTGGGCAGTTCACAAAGGGTGAGGGGTGGGGCTCTGCTCCATGTAGTCTCTCAGGGCCCAGGCAGACAGGGCACCATCAGCCTCAATGCCATTCCAGCCAAGTTCCATCATCCTGGTGTGGCTTCCAGGAGTTCTTTAGTCATTATCATTCCAGCCACCATGAAAAGAAGAGTAGAGACCAAGACCCAGCATTCCAATGAGAAAAATAATTGAGAAACCACTTGTAAATGTATAAGCACACATAAATCTTGACTGTTGCTGCTATTAAGTGCCATGATGATGTTTGAGCAAACAGCTCAATTTATACTTCCAAATGAATGCCATCAGTTTATAAGTAACACAACTTATTCCAGGTTTTGGGGGGAATTAACTAAACATTCTTATATAAGTTTGATGAATAAATAGATGTTCAGATACAGTGATGCTGATTTTTGTTCAAAAAAGGAGATGGGTCGGTGTAATGTGGAACTTGCATTTTTGTGCCTATTTTTTCCTGGCACATTCATATATTGCACTGTCAAGCAATAGCAAGTGAGTGCAACGTGTATGGAAAACAAAAAAAGACAAGTGTATAGTCTCTTACAATCGGGGATGAGCCCTTACTAACAACGGGGACCTTTGAAAAGCTGGACTCCCTGTGGCAGGACCTCACTGCAGGCAGTGAGTTTCTGCCTTAGAGGCTTTAAAGAGTTCAACTTTCCACTTACACTTTCCACAATACAAATCACTTAAATTCAATGGTTTAAACCATCTAATGAAGCTATATGTGGACGAAGCTGACTGTCCAACATGGAGAAACTACCAACACTTTGCCTCAGTTGAGAAAAGTAGCATGTCTTGTGGAGAGGGCCGAGATCTGCACGGGATTTTGGTGGACCTGCAGTCTATTTAAAGCAAACTCCTCAAGAGTCCAGGTCTTGTAATAAGAAGCTTGATTCCAGGCTTAAGTCTGTCAAGAGGAGGGTTTGATGTCACCAAGACTTAATGGCGCTGCTCTTTCACTGGGACGGGCACTGTTTTCCCTAGTGCTTTGCTTGTGAGCATTGAGCTCTGCAAGGTTGCCCCCAACTCTGTTTTCCCTCAAGCCTTTCTATTCCCATCTTCAATTTCGGAGAATGGGGTTCTCAAACAGGGAAACATTTCACATTCTAACAGAAATGCCTCAGCTAAAGGCAATATGACAAAATCACTTCCCAGACTACAGATTGGAGATGCTGTAATGAACGATGATTTAAAAAATAGATTAAAAGTAAAATAAAATTAGTAATTTCATGCAACAAAAACAAATGGGTAATTCACCCATATAATTCACCTATATAGACATGCTAATAATGTGTAATCCAAGTAGAATACTGGAGTGTGGTTCTGGCAGTTAATCTCAGGTTTCTGTGATGAGGATAAAGGGAGCAATTATTTCTCTTCTTCATATTAACTAATGATATGTTTATCATTATAAGGTAACATTATAAGGAAAAGCTTCTTCCGGCAGTGGGTTGAGGTACATAGGTGGATTGAAAGGCCCTGGTCTTGAGATAGTTGGTTGTTCATATTACTGATAGTCTTTTTTTTTTTTTTAAAGATTTATTTATTTATATAAGCACTGAGTACAGTTAGAAGAGCGGGAGGGTGAGAGAATTCACCAGAGCCAGAGCAGGGAGCAGAACAGGCAGAGTGATGAAGTACACTGCTGAGGGGAGCAGCGGGTGGCAGGAGAGGTCTGCGCACCATGTTGGACCCTCGCCTGGTGTCTGGGGATTGAACCGGCGCTGCAGAGGCTGCAGGCAGCTTTGCAACCCAGCGCGTTCAACCGCTGTGCCACCGGGGAGGCCCTATTACTGATAGTCTTTAAAATATACACTTGGTTGTGAACATTTATCCTTTATTCAATATTTGTTTATATAACTTGAGGTTGTGTTAAAACCTGCAAAGGCAGTGTCCTGATGGGAGCAAGTTTTCCTGGTTTGTTGCAGGCACCTTGGTGGTCCTCCTGTGGGCTGTGGTCTGGGCGCTCTCAGGCAGCGAGTGTCTTCCAGGGGGAAACCTGTTCGGGATTCTCACTCTCTTCTACTCCGCTGTCCTGGGAGGTAAACTGCTGGGGCTCATTAAGCTCCCCACGTTGCCACCACTGCCCCCTCTTCTTGGTAAGTGCTGAGCACACCCTACCTCCTTAAGAGTAAATCATAGTTTTAAAGTAGTCATTTAAAACTATTGATAATAGCTAAGATATGGAAAGAACCTAACTGCCCCCAAACAATGAGTGGGTCAAGAAGATGTGTTCTATATACACAATGGGATATAACTCAGCCATCAAAAAGATAAACTCATGTCATTTGCAATAATGTGGATAGAGCTGGAAGGAATTATGCTAAGTGAAGTAAGTCAGAAGGAAAAAGAAGAAGGAAAATATTGAATGGTCTCACTTATGGGTGGAATATAGTGAAACCAAACAAAGGGTCAGGAAAAAGACAAAAGTTGCAGGCAAACCACAGATCTGAGGCATACAGCAGGGGAGATGGAGGGAGAAGGCTCAAACCAGGGGAGGGAAAGACACAAGGGACCATGGTGAGGGTTCACGGGTGCTGTGGTGGTGGGAGATCTGTGGGGACTACACCTGAGGAGAGAGATCAACTACTGTACAAAAGTGAACAACAATGTAAGAAAATAAAACTTTTATTTTAATAAATATTTAATAATAATATTAATTAAAAATAAAGTGTATCTCCCAAAGCTTCTCCCATGATGGGATTTTTTTTTAAATAGCAATTTGCTTGGAAATAACTTGGGAGTAGTTGAAATGAGATTGACTTTTTGTGATTATTTTTGCATATTTAAAAAGTTCCTTTCAAAAAATAAATTGAGGAGGGAAGAACATGCTCTTTATCATAGGTGATTTTTGTCTACGAGAAAGAAGCCCCAGTGGACTTCACAGGCAAGGAGGGACACCTGTTGATGACTTTTTCCGGGGACTCTGTGTACCCCACATCCCAGAGACATGCATGGGAGGTTAGTGGGGCCTCAGTGTGGTGTGTGGTGTGGTGGAAGGTCGTCCTGTCCAGGGTGGGTCCTGCCTGGACCCTGAGGTGCTAGCATAGCCTCCAGCCACCCTGAACTTGGAACATGAAGTAATGAATCCAAATCATTGCTTAATATTAGAAGTATTTGGATCTTTTTTAGAAATGTGGTGATACTTTTATATCTGCTATAGGAATTCAACTCTAGTTTATATCATTTACCCTCTGGTCAAATTGAATGATCATACCTCATGTCGCTTGAAGTTAAAGTTTCCCAGAACCAACTGATGGCGTTGAGGACTTAACAGAAATTACTTTAATGGCAATTGGTTTTAGAGGTCTCTGTTAAAGTCTACTTTACATTTTTATCCCCCTTTTTTAATTAAACTTTTTTGTTTTCTTACATTGTCATTTATTTTTGTACAATACTTAACATTTTTTAAAAAACTACCTGTTTTGAATCTTAACTGATTCAAAAAACCTTAAGATTTATTTTTATGAGTTTTTTTTCTGACAACTTACTAGAAATCTGATTGTATGTTATCTCCATAGTTTTGCTGGATGTTACATACACAGTGTTTTGACCTATGAATAATGGCACATTTTTTCTTCTGTTACCGAAAAGGGGAGGAGAGGGGCACCTGACAAGGCAAAATCAAGTGGCCATACCACACAGGACATCAGCAAAGAGGCAGAGTCCCAAGGAAATTGCTTGGAAGTGCATTTCAGAAATAAAAAATGTCCCCTTATCCCCCCAAAAAAACTCCAAGAGAAAGTCAACATAGTCTTAGATGATTCGTTTCCATTTCAGGTAGTTATATGCTCTAGTTTCAGGGAAAAAAAGAAACTATTACCACATTTTTAGTGTCCTGTGTCTCCTTTCAGGCTCAGTTTTTTTTATTCTAGTCTATTTTTATCTGTATTAAAAGCCTTTTCTCGACTCCTCCAATTCATTCTATCACCTTAATATTTTCCTTTGAGTCTTTAACATCATTTCATCTGGTGACCTGGGTTATGTGGCGGGTCCTCTGTACAGGGCTGGGTTCTCCCGGACGTGAGAACCGAGGAGTCCTGTTCTCTGGCGCAGGCATGCTGCTGGCCGGGTTTCTCCTCAAGAACACTCCTGTCCTCAGTGACTACGTGCAGATCCGACCGCGCTGGTCTTCCTCCCTCAGAAGCATCGCCCTGGCTGTGATACTGGTCCGCGCGGGCCTGGGGCTCGATTCCAAGGTACCAAGTGTCTTTCTTATTACTGAGTGGGAAGTTTGCTCTTCCAGTGCTGCAGAATGTCACCCCTGCACTTCGGGGAGTGGCTGTGGACATCACCTGGTGTTCCCGTAGGCGTGTCCACTGACTTCACGCTGCCCAGAGGACGTTCCATGCTCTTTGTGGGAGAGGGTGGGTCCCTGCCGGGGCTCCCTCCTCCTCCTGGGGGCTTCCTCCTCTCTTGTATGGGTCCCTCCTCCCTCCGGGGGCTCCTTCATCCCCACTAGGGCTTCCTCCTCCCTGACAGAGAGAGGACACAGGTGTGCCCAGGGCATTCAGGGCATGGTACAGCTCAGAACCACCTAGTGTGTAGCCTGAGTCTCCAAGTTGCTCTTCTCATGTATGTTTTTTAATTTGGTGATAAATGTGGGGGTGAAGGCCTATGCCCGAGCTTCATTCATCCTGGGGCCACAAGTTGTAAGCAAAGACCACACTGTGAGGCTCCCCAGCAGGTGTGGGGCCTCCGAGTACAGACAGAAGCCGCCTGGTCCAGCTGGGCTCCAGGGCTTGCCCCACTCAGGATCTTGGGGAAATGACTTTTAGATGGGGCATCTGAAGATGTGTGTTGCACAGTGGGAATGAACAGAACCCCACATGTCAACTGTACCCCGCTTAAGAAGAAAGTCTCACCTGTACAGTCACTGATCTGGGTACAGGGTGGCTTCAGGAGGAAAGGCATCCCGGGTGCTAACCCCAGGTGGCCTGAGCATGACTGGGCGGTGTCTACTCTTCTGCTCCAGGCTCTGAAGAGACTGAAGGGTGTCTGTGTGAGGCTGTCCGCGGGCCCCTGTCTGGTGGAGGCCTGCACATCCGCGCTTCTGGCCCGCTTCCTGCTGGGCCTGCCGTGGCGGTGGGCCTTCATGTTGGGGTAAGGCTCTTCCCTGCCCTGTGAGGTCTGTGGAGGGCACGGAGGATAGCCCCTGACTCCACACCACAGCCCACAAGACACCAGAAACAACAGACAGCTCCATCAAGATGACAAGTACTGATACTCCAGCATAGAAATACTGTAGCTTCAAAATTCAGTTTATGTCCATGTAGGCCCCCACTTGGCAGTGGTTGTACAACCCATTGAGGAGGTGTGGGCTTTTACCTATGCCAGGTTCCCTGCTGGGGAGAGAGCCTGGCCTCTCCAGGAGCCTGCCCTCAGGGCCATGGACACAGTGACCCACATCACCCCCCAGCCTGCTGCCGTCTCGCCCCCAAGTGCCTGCCCTCAGAGTCTGAGCGTCTCCAATCTCCTGTGGGTTCTTACCTCTGGTGACAAGAAGTCATGAGAATAAGTAACAGAAGTGCCTGGAGAGAACTTAGTATTAATAAGAATTAATTTAGTATTAATAAGAAGTCTTGGCCTCCGTCAGCAGCTGCACCTGTGGTCTGGCCCAGTCACTCTCCAGGGTGGCCTGCAGGTCATTTAAACACTCTGAGCCACCCCTCCTAGCAGAGAGCAGGCCCCGATTGCAGCTCTCTGCTGGCCGTGGGGAGGAGCCTTTTCCGCAAGGTGCTCCGGATGGTGTTTGGCCTGGTAGGCGCCATGCTGCTGTCACTGCTGCTGCTGTCCCTGGTGTCCCTGCCCATCCTGTCATTCCTCCTTGTCGCCTGTTGTCTGGTTTACACACCAGTCACCATGGAGCGCCTCACACACTGGCTTCAGTCCACAAAGCCTGTGAGTGCTTGAAACACACCAGGACTCTTTCAGTTCCACATTAAGAGGGTTTAGCTTTTGAAGGGCAGCTTCCTGGGGCCTCAGCCACCGGGGCCTCTCTGCCCCACATTATCCCAGGGCAGCGTGTGCACGGCCATGCTTTGAAGAGAGGCTCTGTAGAAGGTGCATGTGCCTCTGGGCTTCTGGTTTGGTGCTTGGCTGCCATTTGCAAGACGGTGGTTGTCTAGAGCGGGATGCTTTCTCGGGGAGAGGTTCTTAGGGTTTCAGAGCTGACATTGAGCACGTTAGTGTCGCACGGCTAAATCCCTGCCTGCGCAGTTTTGTCCTAGGAGCCGTCTCTCCAGCCGTGGTGGTGCCGTCCATGCTCCTTCTGCAGGCTGGCGGCTTCGGCATAGAAAAAGGTGTGCCCACCTTGCTCATGGCTGCGGGCAGCTTCGATGACATCCTGGCCATCACTGGCTTCAACACCTGCCTGGGCATGGCCTTCTCCACAGGTACACTCCACCCCAGTTCATGGGCACCTTGGCCTAGATTAAAGTGTCCTTAGCCTGGCATAATTTTTAAGAGGGCAAATTCAAGTAGAGGAACCAGCTCCAGGAGTTAGTCCTGTCCCTCGGGAGGCACAGAGGCTTCCTATCTTCACTCTGGGCAGCCTGTTCAGGTGTAAGACAGGTGCACTGAGCGGATACAAAGTGGCAAAACTTAGAGAGCAGCAGCAGCCTCTTGCTGGGTGACCTGGGGAAGCTTAACCTTGGAAAAGGCACGCAAAGGATGAATAGGTTTTCCTGAATACCAAGATGGAACCATCTTCCATCTTAGATTAGTTATGCCACTGTCGCAAGGCCCCCTTCCTGTTGCAAAGACAGGCGGAGAGGACTGCACTGTTAGGGCACCAACCAGGGGGATGCCAGTGAGTGGGGACCGGAGGGTAGAGAAGGGCTGGTCTAGCACCGTCTGTCTGCAGCCTGCTGGGGCATCTTGGGCTCATGGGGGTCCAGAGCTGCCCCGTCACCTCTGTCCTTCCTGGAGAGACCGGAGGACACACCTGGCACGTGTGTGTCCTGCAGTCAGGCCCGTGGGCCAAGGAGCTCCTGTGCCCGCTACTCCCGTCAGCTCCAGCCTGACATCCCTGCGCTGCATCTCACTCAGGTGCATGCTCTGCCCTCCACGACAATAACAGGAAACCTCAAGTGTGAGTGCGATTTTTCTTAGAACAGGGTGTGGAGAGAGCTTTATGTGTTGAGCAATATTAATGTAGTTTCCTACATAGTATGCTAGCAAATTTTTATTAAAGTTTTCCAAATTCTAGGCTGTGGGGAGAAATATAGGTTCTACTTCTTTCTACGTTATGATGCTTCAAAAAAGCTAAGGAGCAAATAGTGACTGTTTTTAAAACAGGAGTTTTAAAAATAATTTCATTTCAGATTTACCTTTAAAATAAGCATTTGAGAAGGGGTTAGTTCCCTATACTCATTGTAGTAAAAAAAGATTTTTGATTTTAGTTGCCAAATCCTTAAGTTACTCTATCCTATACCGATGAGAGCCACCAAGACCAACACACGTTGATTATGAACACATCAGACTCAGAAACGGCAGCTTGAAGACTAGACCTGTCTATTCACACAGCCCGTGCTTGTAAGAAGACAAATGTACCTGCATCATGAATTGTATCTTTCACATTTCCTTAGACCCTTCCATTTTTATGAAGTAAACATGCAAAAGAATGCACAGATGCAGCCTACACCTGTTTGAACTTTATCTCCAATACCATGCGCACCTTTTTTGTAAGCCCATTTTATTGGACATTTTGTGTCCCGTGTATTTAAGAATGTGGTGAGCAGGAAACACGTGTACACGTCTTCTTCCATGTCACCAGATGCTTTATGTTGATGGTGAGAGTAGGCCTGTCCCTGGGGATTTGGAATTCTTTCTGGAGTTTTCCTTTTGTGTCTTTTCAAGGCTCCACGGCATTTAACGTGCTCAGAGGAGTTTTGGAGGTGGTGATTGGAGTGGCGGCTGGGTCTCTTCTGGGCTTTTTCATTCAGTACTTTCCAAGCAGTGACCAGGTACAAGAAATAATCTGGGGGAAAGTCGTGCTTATCTAAAATGTCCTTGGAAGAACATGTGGGACATGTCCCACCAACCCGAGGGGAAGGATGTGGTTCAGAATGCCCCCCGCATTGTAGAACAGCTCCTTGCGGTGTCAGCGCCGTCCACAGATGAATGAGGAGGGCTAGTGTGTGCGAGCTTACTGCGGTTCTGGGACTTCTCTAGTTTCCATTCTGCACACATCAAATGTCGTTGTGAGACAAGTACCATTAACTCCAACACTGTAAGATATGCTAGCCTTAGTTTTAAATTATATTTTATTGTTTTGCTCATCTTTATTTTATTGTTATCCATAACACTCAACTAAACCAAGACATAAAGTGACTTTCTGGGCTCTTCGTTCCTGTGAGGACGCCGTGGGCTCCGAGCGCAAGCTTGTGGCTGGTCCTCTGGTGTTCCCCAGGGGAACCTGTGCCACGTTTATTTTCCTCTCGGTCCTAAATATGCAAAAGTTGGTTATTAAAATATGAGTGGGTCAAGATGTGGTCTGTATACACAATGGGGTACCACTCAGCTATGAAATAGCCCCTGCCCTTCACAACAGCACGGGTGGATGGTGCCAAGTAAGTCAGCACCAGGTTTTCACCATGTGGAATGTGCAGAGAACTAAGGAACTGACAGAAGTAAATCAAAGCAAGTCCTAGAAATCTGACTGCGGAATTGAGGCTGTCGGGGAACGGGGGTGGGAGCCAGGTAGGAGGGGCCCAGTGGGCTGTGGTGCAGTCTGTGGGTGTCTGGTGGGGGAGGGTAGTATGGGGATCACTCCTCTGAGGAGTTGTGATCCTGTAACCCTAAAACACAGACAGTGTGGCAAACCTTTACATCAGTTGAACAATGTAAATAATAAAAATTTTAAAAACACTGGCGAAAATAAGCCAGGGCAGGCGACACCCGGGCTAAGGCCTGTTTCCCTCAAGGCGCAGCTTGTGTGGAAGCGGGCGTTCCTGGCCCTGGGGCTCTCCGTGGTCGCCGTGTTCAGCAGCGGGTATTTCGGCTTCCCCGGGTCTGGGGGCCTCTGCACCCTGGTCATGGCTTTCCTCGCAGGCGTGGGCTGGGCCAGCGGAAAGGTGAGTTCACCTGAAGTGAAGACAACACTGAGTGTGGGGGTGTGTACAGGGTATACAAGTACGCATCATATATTTGGGAGCTATCCCCCTAAGGTTACTGTATAAGCATCTTTATAATAACAGTCCATTTTTTCAAACCAGTACTAATGCGCCAGATTCTGTACACAGGATTTTTGGCTCTTTTCTCACCAGCCTGTTATTTATAGGTGCCACAGGAATGAAGCCTCTCTCAGGCCAAATTGATTCAAATTTCAAACGATCAGATACTTGGTACGCGTACCTTCACATAATAAAAATGTGTGTGTCTGGGCCTCCCCTGGTGGCGCAGCGGTTGAGCACTGGGCTGCGAGGCTACCCGCAGCCTCTGCAGCGCCGGTTTGTTCCCCGGCCGCTGGCGAGGGTCCCACCAAAAAAAAAAAAAAAAAATGTATGTGTCTGTGTGTTTTTCTTTCAGGCAGAGGTTGGAAAAATTATTGCGGTTGTCTGGGAGATTTTTCAGCCCCTTCTCTTTGGGCTGATTGGAGCAGAGGTCTCTATCACGTCTCTTAGACCAGAAACTGTAGGTGAGAATTTCAAAGTAGTCCCTTTGCTAGAACCAGATTTTTATGTTCAGTTGAAATATGTTGGTGTGTTTATTTAGACCATAAGTCTAAGGGTTTTTACTAGTAAATCACCCTCCTACTTAGCAGTCATCTTCTCTGTGTCTCTCTCGGTCTGTCAGCCACAATCCTGCACATCAGGATGAACTTATCTTTGTCGGCAAAGGGTTCTAAAGGGCTGAAATAAACCCCTGTCCATGTCAGCAGGGGTGAACGGGCAGTGACTCCAGGTACACCAGAAACAGCCCAGACTACCAGTGACTTCTGATTGGTCAGGACCCAGTCAGCTCTGTTCTGATAGACTCCCCACTGGCTGATAGATATTTTGACTATCACCCCTGGTTTTGTGCTCCATCAAGAATTCTCAACCTTTCTGAGGAAAATCTTCATTTTTCCACTCCTGTGCCCTCTTAGCAGCGTGCTTCCGCTGCACTTGTCCTACGGCCTATGTCAGCTGTTTGTCTTTCTCTGACTCTGAAGTTCATGAGGCAAACTCTGTCTGTTTGTGTATTAGCACCTGGTTCACGTCCTGCCACGCATAGTTCATCATTTAATAAATGTCTTGTTCAATAAACACGTGGAAGAAAGTGTGGTTCTTGCTGTAAAATGTAAGAGAAATAACATTCAAGTCTCCTTTGTAGAAATTCAAATATGTTTGGATGATATCTGATTTTAATGTAGGGAAAATACATTTTTTAAAACAAGTGATGTGATTGATATATAAAGTTGATATTGTGAAAATTATGCCATTTTTGTTTTAATTTTTAGATTACTTCTTTGATACTACTTGAGTCAGTGTCTTTGCGATGCAGTTTCTCCTCTAGTATTTCATTCTCTCTAAAAATTCTTACAGGTCTTTGTGTCACCACCCTCAGCATTGCAGTGTTGATACGAATTTTGACCACATTCCTGATGGTGTGTTTTGCTGGTTTTAACATATAAAAGAAAAGATATTTATTTCTTTTGCATGGCTTCCAAAGGCCACAGTTCAGGTAATGATGGATACCTCCCATTTAACTCCTGTTTCTAATTGAGACCTTGCAATTTTGAATAAGAGGGCTTATTCTAATTTGGTAAAATAAGTAATTGAAGTTTGATTTATGCAACAAGGTTATACTAATATTAATACTAATATTTTATAATAATTTTTTGATGTAATGATTCCTCAAATATGATAGCTCATTTAAATTTCTTTAATGCAGCAAAGTACAACTAAAAATCCAATAAATACCTACGCTACTAGAAAACAAC